AAAATTCCTTGTATGCAAAAATGTCATACTTTGGGGTAATTGAGTACATTTGGGAGTTATATTACATCAAATTTTGAGTTCCAAATTTTGGTTGTAAGTGGGTTGATCATAAAAATGGTCTTAAAGTTAATGACTTGGGGTTCTTAATAGTGGATCTTAATAGAGAAGGTTAGAAAGATAAGCCTTTTATTTTGGTTTCATAAGCTCAACAAGTGTTCTTTGTTTCTAATCCAGCTAAAATGAATTGGTCTATCGTTTTATTGAGCAGTAAAATAAATGAATATATGAATGATTCTACAGTTGAAGATGATCCATTTATAGGGATATTATTTGAAAGTTACTTCATTAACAATGAAGCCTTTTGTATGAGAAATGATCACTATAAAGGTATTTGGATTTCAAAAAAAAAAAGAGGTAGAAGCATTCAAGCAAAGAAGGAGATCAAAGATAAGGAACATACAAGAAAAATAAAAAGAACAATTTAAACATGTAGGCCACTTGTTTTGTGTGATTTAAAAATTTATTGTTATTTATTATGTGGTATATTTGTTTTATAATGTGTGATTTACATTAAACATGTAAATTACTTATTATGTACTTAATTTTTTTATATTTTTTTTATTATTTGTTTTGTTTTTCTACTTTTGTAGGTAAATGGCTTCTTAAAGGAGTGTTGGTCTTAGTAGACCTAGTAGTGCTAATCCTAATGTTGAGATGAATGACTGGCAAATTCAGCAAGAAACAAATCAAATAACAAGAGGGTTGACATCGATGACCGATGTGAATAGAAGAAGGGTTGCTAGACAGAAATATAAATTTGAATGGAATTTCAAAGGTCAACCTATCATGACCAACAGAAATAAATTCATCAGCTACATAAGGTTGCAGTAAAAGCAAATGTGCTAATTACAATTAGGCACTAGAATGATGTTAGTCCAGCTACAAAAAATTATATTTAGGAGCAAATAGAGGTAAAACACTTTACTCACATCGTTGCAGTTAATTGAAATTACTTGACCAAAAATCTAATTAATTGTCTTGGTTTACAGTTAGCATTTGCAACTGATACTAGTCGGATAAAATTTGTCATCCAACAAGCTGAAAAGGCAATGCAGACATTTTAGTATTTCATGGGAGCAAAATACATTAAAAAATGAGGAGGAAACATTAGTGTTGAGGTCCCCAACTTGATAAGGCTATTAGTTTTATAAGAATAGTGGGATGAATTTATTGCTCAATGTCTCGAGGGAAAATTTCAAGTAGGAATAATGAGATGAATTAATTTTTTATTATCATCGATATTTTAATTTTATTGATATGATTCTATGTATTTTGCATAGGAGTTGATCCATAAAAAGAAAGAGCAGCATGAGAAAATCTATACCCTTATAAGAAGGGGTGCATAGGATATGCAGGAATTGAGCAACAAATGGTAAGTTAATATTTATACTACATTATTTTAGCTTACTTCACATATATATGTACTATACTCACATTCAAATTTACTTAAATTCGTGGATTGAGCGAGAGGGTTCAAGGGAAAGCTTAGTTTCACATCACAGACTCTTTATAGAAGGCTAAACCAATAAAGAAAGAAATATTGTTGATGACTATGTTTATGAGCTTGCCAATAAGTGTGTAAGTACATTAACTTAACATTTTTTTATACTCAATCAACTAATTTAACTTTCTTACTATATATTGCACATGTCAAGATCAAGAAAAGTGGCACACTTGATGATGATGTCTTAGGCAAAGCATTAGGTAATCCCGAACACCCTGGTCGAGTTAAGGGATATGGCTTTAGTGTTTCAAAAAAACAATATTTAGGTCACAAAAGAAGGTAAAGTCAATAGAGGATGTAGGTGTAAGGGCTAAGATTGCTACCCTGAAAGAGGAGCTATCTAGGCAACAGGACATAATTGAAGCTTTGGTAAAGGACAAGGAGAGGTAGGAGGCAGAGTTTCATATTAGTCCTAGGGGAAAAGGTAGTTACAGTTTCATGCAGCCTATTAAAAATCTCCCTGAGGTAAAATATTATTAATTTATTTCACATATGTTTTACTATTTCTATTTTCCATAACTTTAATATAGTATATTAGTTATTAATATAGGGTGTAAGCCTATGTGAGTTATTGGCAAATAGCCCGAATCATCATATGCTTGCTATCGATCGGGTGTTTAATTTACCGAAAGACATGCTACATAATATACCACTCCTTATGTCTTATGTATATGTTGCAATTGATGCGCTGAAGGATTTGAACTATCTACTACCTATTCCTACCAAGGACGTAGGGATTGTTGGAGAGGTGATGTGTAGTTTTGTTAGATGAAAGCTAGTCAGGTTAAGATGCCAAGTCTAAAAAAAAACTAGCAAAGATACACATTAAAAAAAGGGATGATACCCTAATCCAGGCTCTCCTCTAAAAAGGAAGTCTCCTATAAAGCTGTGCTTGAACAAGAGCCTCAATTGCCAAGCCAACATAGAAATTTACTTCATGTATATGCAATGATTCATAGATGTAATCCTTCAGTCCTACAAATCCCATTCGAGACTGATACATATGGCGAAAAACGATATGATATGCTTTGGCTTGATGTTGTTGATGAAGTTCTTCAACATGATATGACTAATCTCACTATTCTCAGCTTTTACATATGGTAATTTTTTTTATATATGAATAGTTAATATTTTAAATATGAACTAATCCATTTCTTGTATTTATAATAGGTGCTTGTATGACAAATTTGTTGTCCCTTTTGATCTACAAACAAAGTTCATCGTCATTAGTCCTCATGAAGTGAGTGCACATGCCTTAATTAAAAGCGATAAAATTTTAGAATAAGTAAAGGCATTAAGCAAAAATTTTAAAGTAAGAGCTTGAAAGAGAACATTATTCATAATACCATACTATCAAGGCTAACGTAGTTCTCACTTATGTTAATAATTTTTTTATTTTTAATTTAATGGATTAATTATAATTCTGCAACACTTGTTAATACTATTAGGGACGATTGGATGTTGATCATTGCTGAACCATTTGGCAAAACTCTAAAGATATATTATCCAATTCTCTTGGAAGGGAACTAGGGAGGAGACAAATTTTATTGGAGTTGATCAATACATAAGTGCATAAAGTATTTCACATATTTATTTAATTATTTAAATTTCATACTAACATATTTTTTTACTGTTTCATTAGGGCGATTGTGTTATATCGCACTACCATAAAACAATCAATTCCAAGATCCTTTATAAATTTTGATGTAGCCTACACTTGGTATATAATTAAGGTAATTGGAATAATTTACTAAATTGAAATTTAATGCATTAATACATATTCATCGATTCTTTAATTTTTAGTGTCCAAGACAAAAGAAAAATAGCTTGGATTGTGGCTATTGCATTATGAAGTTCATGAAGGACATCATTATCTATAACGAGAGCATAATTCCTGAGATGGTATGTCAACAATATTAATTTTTAAATTACAAAAATATTTAATGTATAAAAATTAATATATGATGGATCATTCATATGTTGTAGTATTATGACGATTCTTATGTTGAAGAATTCGGGGATGCAAAAATAAATAAGGTAACTGAAGAATGGTATCAATACATTTTCCAAGCATGGACCTCATACAAAGAAAACCTTGAAGAAGTAGCTAGGAAGTTTATATTTTTAATAGGTAGTTTATTTTCAAAATAGTTTACTTTATGTAATTACATTTGTTTATTGATTAATTTTGAAATTGAATACAATAAATTTCATTGATATTCAAATTTGAAATGGCTAGCTATTGTTATTTTGATTTCTTTTTGTAGGGGGCTAGTGTAAAAATAACTCCCGTATTAAAAAAATCATATAATAAATGACTGTTATATAAATAACCACCATTTATACTACAATAAGTGATGGGTAAATAAGTTACCCATCATTTATCTAGACTTTAAATGATAGGTAACTTATTTACTTGACATTTAAAGTATGGTAAAATATCCATCATTTAAATGATGGGTAACTTATTTAAAGTATACTTTAAATGATAGGTATTTTTTCTATAAAAAATTGTATTTTAAATGAAAGTTTATAACCGTCATTTATTGATGAACTTTAAATGTCAGCCACATAAATGATGCATATTAATTGTCATTTATGGACTAAAAGAACCATCATTTATTCCTTTTTTGTTAGTAGTGAGTTTAAATCTATCCCAGACACCTTTTAACTTGTAACACACTTCAAACCTAAATTGTCAACTAAGCCTTCTCATAGAGATCGACCTATGTTCACACTAATACTATATTAGTGTAGCTTAATATTATTCTGTTAGGGTAGCGACAACCTTAGTCACTCATCCATGCATCTTTAGATTGAAAATTTAGTTTGTAGCTTTCTTCAATGAATTTTTTGCTTTAAAAATATTAAAAAGAATAATAACTCCTTTCCATTCCTTCCAAATTAAATTATGTTGTATTAGTTCATAGTAATGACCCTAAATTTTAAATTAATTAAATCCTGTTTCAATTTATATTTAATTTATTTATTTAAATCTTATGATAAATGAGGAGTAGTGGCCTAGGGAAATTTATACTAGTTATTTATATGGAGTTATAAAGTTTGAATCTTACTTTAGCCAAAGGTTAGTTTTATTTTCTTATATGGGATATTACTAAAGTGCCCTTGTTTTTTATTATGAAAATATTATAATAAAAATAATAAAAATCTGGTGGGGTCTCCTTTTGAAATTTTCCCCAACAAGCTTTGGGTCTTGTTTTGTAATTTTTCCAATAAGCTTATTATTTCATTCTCTCCATTCTTCTTCAGTTAGAAGCTGTAATATATATATATATATATAGAGAGAGAGAGAGAGAGAGACCGTTCACATATGTCTCTATTAAATAAAAAGTTTAATTTATTTTATTTAACAATTTGAAATAAAAGTTTAATTTACTTAAGAAATGTATGCACATGCATTCCTTTGTTGCTCACTAATCTCATCAACCATGTCATATATGATATAACAATCATTACAACTACTATTATTTTCTTCCATGTTTGGTAAAAAAACATGCATACATCATACAAGTAATGTGCCAAGAATGTTTTTGAAAGGAAATATACAACATAAATTGAAAATAGAGTATTGCTTGTTTAATGATGTCAACGATGATGCTTTTGCATAATCATGTTCTTGATCTTGTTTAATGACACAACAACATCTGTCATGCTGCTTCGCATTTCAGGAAAGTCAATGCAACAATTTAATGCCAATTCAAAAATACTGGATGTAGAAGTCAATATATCACCAGCATATTGAACATCTCCCTGCAATAAATTGGAATCTATGACATTAATTATTTCATGTGGCATTGAGTCACTTACCCAACTCTTCAAATTCAATTCTGAGACAAACATATCTTCTGTTGGTTTTTTTCTTGTGAACACTTCCATTAACATAATTCCATAGCTATACACATCTACTTTTGTTGAAACAACTCCAGTAGATCCATATTCTGCATAGAATTGGATTCAAGCACCAAAAAATTAATTTATTTCTCATAATCATAATTTACAAACTAGAATAAATTAGAAATATACATTTAATTAAGATAAATGGTTCAAAACTAATCATTTGTATTGGTAATCCTTGTGTAATCCTATTACATTTTATATACCAATACAATAAAGCAATCCTTGAGAGAATTGTCTTTAGATCCAACAAAAATACATGTTGTAGTGATTTGCATCCACCCTCTCATATCATGTACATACACATAAAAATAATTAAAGCAACCAAGCTTAGTGAATGCAAAGTATAGAAAGTAAGAAATCCTTTTGGTTGTCTATTTTATGAAAGAACCTTCCTCAAATAAAAAATAGAATATATATATATATATATATTCAAGTATACTTTTCTTTATATAAGCTTTTGGAGGACATGGTTTCAAGTATTTATTTGACAGGTGATTTTAATGAAAATCAATTAAACTTCTTATCAATAGGGGCTAAATCAAGAAGATCTAATGCTTTGTGGACACAATTGTAGTATTGCTCATAGAAAGTAATGAATATTTTGTATATTGATTTTCTATGATATTGTTAATTTAAATAATAAGTGATAAAGTATGAAAGATTTCATATGTATAATTTAATAAGGTGACTCCAATGTAATCTAAAAGAAATTAAGAAAAAAAGCATTCTCAAAATATTGGTGCAAAATGAACATCATGAAGTTTGGTTTAGAAATTACCAGGTGAAACATATCCAATTGTAGGTATCGTCTCTGTATGTGTTTTTGATTGTCCTTCATCTAAAAGTTTGGAAATCCCAAAGTCACTCACATGAGCAACCATATCATCATCTAACAAAATGTTACTTGGCTTTAAATCGCAATGAACTATCGGTGTTGACAAGCCATGATGGAGATACTCCAAAGCAGATGCTACATTTATCATTATATTCAACCTTTGTAGAAAATCCAAACAATAGTTATGAGAATATAACCATTTTTCAAGGCTCCCTTTAGGCATGAACTCCATGATCAAACACTTAAAATCAACATTAGAACAACTACTTATGATCTTCACCAAATTATAATGGCGCACATTACGCATTGTGTTGCATTCCACTTCAAAGCTCCTTGACATCTTTTCAGATTCAAAATTAAATACTTTAATTGCAACCATCATCCCATTCAAAAGCTTTCCTTTGAACACATCACCATAACTCCCCTTTCCAAGAAAGTTACTCTCATCAAATCCATTAGTTGCTTCTAGAATTTCAAAATAAGAAATCCTCCTTGGCCATCCTAAAATGGATAAACCGCTCTCAATTGGTTCCCTTAAATTTGATCGTCTATGGATGAAAAGGATAATGCCCAAGACAATTAAAATTATTGACACAACCATGGGTAATATGCATTTTAGTAAAAGTGATTTTGCCCATGACTGTTTTCTTCTTCCTTTGTCACAATGAGGAACTTTTAGTTGTGGATGGCCACAAAGAGCTTCATTCATCATGAAAGATTCAGCAGTTAAATTTGCAAAAACTCCACCACTTGGTATCTCTCCTTGTAGTTTGTTATATGAGAGATTGATATACTTAAGATAAGTAAGTGACTCAAAGGATTTAGGAATCTCACCAGATAAATTATTCTCAGAAAGGTCCAAATTTACTAAGCTCAACATATTTCCAAATGATTTAGGAATATTTCCTTGCAAATTGTTATGTGCTAAGGAGAGATCTTGCAACTTCTTTAGTCCACCCAAAGATGTTGGAATATTGCCTGAAATATGATTTCTTGACAAATCTAGGGATATAAGAGCATTTAAGTTTCCAATATTTGATGATACATTTCCAACTAAAATATTGGAAGATAAGTTTACTTTCAATATATCCTTCAAATTCCAAAAGGAGGAGGGTATTTCTAAAATTAACTTATTAGAGTCCAAGTAAAGTTCTCGTAAAGAGGTAACATTTGCTAAACAATGTGGTATTCCTCCAGAAAACTTGTTTCTACTTAATAATAAATAGGCAAGCTTTGTGATTTCACATATCTCATCAATGATTAGGCCATGTAGCTCATTGCCTTCAAGACTCAAGTATTGAAGATCTTGTAAGCCACCAATTACTTTTGGAATTGATCCTGTCAAAACATTTTCTTCCAAGGATAGTTCATAGCAACTAGTGAGATTCCCAAAATTTGATGGAAGATTGCCAGTTATAGAATTGCTTCCAAGATTTAAGTATCTCAAAGTTGAAATGTTAAAAATGTTGGATGGAATAGATCCCCTCAACTTGTTATTCCACAAATCTAAGATCTCAAGCTTATGGAGATTTCCTATTTCCATAGGTATTAAACCTGTATTCAAAATATTAAGTTTGGTGAAGTTGTTTAAAGTGAATAATAAAAATAGTAAATAAGACAAATATCTAACAAATGAGATGTACCATTGTCGATACTCCTTTGCATATTAGGTCAGTCAAGTTCTACGTCAAGAGTTTACCTTGCTCTCCACACGCACACACAAACTGACAAGATGGACACTTATCTTTTACATAGATTCTTTAAATTATTTTTATAAATATAATTCAACTTATAAATAATTAAAAAAGAATTCTGTTAAAATAAATAAAAGATAAAGACTTTTTATATATTTGTACCATAGTCGAGCATTGTAATCTAAATATAAAAATTAAATTATACTCTTGTTTTTTATGACTTAAATGTGCCTCCTCTCCAGCATTTAATGGTTAAAAATGAGAAAACTTATTAAGATTTAAGATTAAATTTTCAATTTCAAATATTGCAATGTCTTACAAAATATCTTTGTAATGGGGTAACAAACAAAAAAAAAAATTAATGTTTTTGATTTTGCACAAAATTAAAAAGGGACTTGGAAAAATTATTGTAGCAATTATATATAATTTTTTAAACTGTTAAAACGTGTCCACAATGTTTTGGTTTTTACGATGACCAATTTCATTAGGAATATTTCTTGTAATTTAGCAACAGATAAAGTAAACATAGATAACAATGCTATGATTTTTTTGAACGAATACCTTCCAAGCTATTGGAATTCACATTTAAATCTTGAAGCATGGTCAAGTTTCCAATACTTTTTGGTATATGACCTGAAAGAAGATTGACACTTAAAAGCATAAGGGACAGTACATTAGTTAAAGCACAAATTGTCTAATGCCATTTAGAAATCACAAATTAGCTAGGCATAAGGTATTTCCAATATTTTCACTCATTTTAAGAATACTATTACATTGTTAACTTTGTTAAAAATCCAAAGATTCGAGTTTTACTTGTTTTTTGATACTGTAGTTTTACCTTTTTTAAATAAAGGAATTGTTCTAGAACAAATGAATTAAATAATTTTTTAGAGAAATGATACTCATCGGGCATTTGTCTCATACCAAGTAGCCTGGTATTCTAATAGGACATAACATATGGTATCATAAGTTAAGTAAGACCCATCATCATCATATAAGTTTTTGGCTAATATATTGTATGAGAATAAGACCATGTAGTTTGCTAAACTAAAAGAGTTTTTGCGGTGACAGTTCATGAGCTAATAGCATGAGCTCACTCCAGATCTTGAACAGTTCATATGATGACATCATATGTACATATATATGGAAGATCATAATTTTTAAATGTCCATTATCTCTGCAATTTCTTTAAGAATATATCTAACAATATTATTGTAAAATAAAAAACAAAAATGAAAATAAAAAGACAATGTTTTTATTTAAAATGATGCAGAGAAAATCATTTAAGACAAATACGGGTAGTAATGCATGGGCTATTGAGCTTTTACGTATTTTATTTTTTTATATTTATCTTAAAATAGGTTTGATAGGGGATACTTGTATATTTATTTATTTATTATGAAAATAATTTGATTCATTTAAAAAAGAACTTCATTTATATAAAAATTTAAAAAAATAAAAACATTGTTTATTTTCATTCTCCCTTTCTTCTACTCTCCCTCTTTCTTTCTAATACATGTGAAAGCTTTTCAATTATTACCTGATTTAACCCACTTATTCGCAAGATATGGAATTGTTTTGCAAACAAAACAAAAAATTAGATATATATAAAAAATTATTTTAATCAAAATTTGTCATTGAGGTTTATATATACAAAGGTACAAACAGATAGTGTTTTTAGTATGTTTATAGAAATTGTGCTTTTAATTTAGGCCCATATACAAGGGTATATATTATGTTTGCCATATATGAGGGTGGAAGATGGAAACAGGGTAGTTGGTTGTGAACTGATGCAAGCTTTTTCGGAAACATGGAATTTAAAATTATATAAATTAATTTTATATTTAATAAAAATGATATCAAATTTTTGTTTTGCTTTATATTTTTTTTCTAAAACTGCTTTGGCCCAGGTTCCTTAAATTTTAGTTACTTATATAAATATAAATTAGTTTGTCAATGTACATTTCTGTTTAAATGAAAAATAGGAGATAAAGAAGTTCAATGTTTTATTGTTTTGGTCAATGCCAATGTCAAATGCATAAAAGTGCAATCAAAATATATTTGATAAGATTGAATTTAGAGATTTGACATAGTGAGTAGTACATACCTGTGAATAAGTTGTTATTTAATCTTATTATTTCCAACTCCTTGCATTGTGTCCAACCAGCTGGTATAGGTCCAAATAATTTGTTGTCTTGAAGAGCCAAATATTGTAAATTTGGAAGTCCATTGCATATATTAGAAGGAATGCCTCCAGACAAATTATTCCAACTTAAATCAATATCCCGAAACTCAGATATATTAAAGATAGTCGATGGTATTTGGGCAGAAAACTTATTGCTGTGTAAATATAAAATTTCCAGACTTTTAAGATTACCAATCTCTTTGGGAATATCTCCTGCAATGTTATATAAAAAAGATTCATCAAAGTTGTTGTAATCGATCAAAATATAACTCTTGAAGTTGAAAATAAAAGAGGAAAGAAAAACGTTAGATAATTTTTTAAAACTATTAATAACGTATTCCTCACCAATTTTTAAATTAGGAAAAGTGAAGTCAAAAGAAGACAAGATAATGAGAACAATAAAGGAGAAGAAGTTGAGATAGAGCTACAAAGACAAAGATAACCCATAATCTAATAGCTCAATATCTATCTCTCATGCATTTCTCCATGTAGAGAATTAAAAGGAAAGTCTTCATCACTTTGATGTGTGAAAAATAAATAGAAGAAAAAGAAAAATTGAGAGATTCCAAAGAAAAGAAGCATGGGCTTAGAAGGGAAAATCTTCATAGAATCATCAATAACAGTATTACATAATTACCTATACTTTTTAGCCCAGAAAACAAAGGTAAACAAAGTAAAGAATTCTTGTGCATGTGAACCACTAATCTGAATGTATAGGTAAGTTGAAAATTTTGACAGTAATGCATATAAGCTGTTGGGGGTATAGTTAAGTTTTCAATGCTATTTAAGTCAAAATTATTATAACAACAAAAATAGAAATGACTGAAAAATTGTATTGCACACAGCAACATCATATCTCTGTTCTTTCTAAAAATTGGCTTACCAAGCTAGCATCCCAAAAATTAAAAATAACCAAAGAATTTTTATGCATAAATAATTATTACAACAAGAAATTTCACAGATGCACAAACTTATTGATACCTTATAATAAAACAAAAGGTGAAAAAGAAAAATAAAATGCATCTTGTTCATAGTAATTCTCAGAAAATAATGTAAAAATGTTGCAAATAAGAACATAACATGAAGAAAAAGAACTTAAAGGCTGCAGAAGAGAAGACATCCTAACCAGTATCACTAAAATTAACAATAACTAAGTCTCTTTTTTAGTTAACCAAAACTAAGGTATTTTTATGCATAAAGAATTATAGACGTAGGATATTTTATGCGTTGATAGAACTCATTTGTTACACATTTAATTAGAATTATTTTATTAATTTTTTATCACCTCAAAGTGGACACAATGCATTAGATTTAGAATTTTGCCAAATTGTCTAGGTTTAATGCACTAGGGTATTTTGGTCCAAAAAATAAACTTTAAAAAAATATACAAGAAAAATTAACAAAGTGAATTTCATATTCAGTTGATGAGTGGTCAAATTAGATTTTTGAGGTTCATTTTAGTTTGGAAGTAATTAAATAAAAAGTCAACACTTTTTAAAGTATCTTAGTTTGACCTAGTTTTCAGTTTCCCTTTGTGTGAAAATTTTTATATAATTTTGTACAGTCTGAAACTTGATTATTTTAATAAATTCTTCCTTATAATTATAAATTTAATTCTGAACATTAATTAAATTTTATTATATCACATGTTATTTGATTGAATTATGTGATTCATGTGACATAGGTGGTGGCATATGAATTGTGCATCAATTAGACAATTGAAGTCAACACTCCTTAAGGTCAAAGCTGAGCATTTAGGACATGATTTTTGCCATTTTGGGGGATTAAATCAGCTTGAAATGTGGATGTCACATGGCAAATTAGACACACATTGGAATCATCTACAAGCCAATAAGAGAATGTCATCTTGCTAGTGTGACAAGGCTTTCATTTCCTTTTTATTTTCTTTTCCTATTTTTTAATTGATGCTTCAACTAAGGGAAACTAATTATTCACACCTCTTACCTCTTGAATTCAAATTAAGACACACATTTCATCATCTTTTCCATTCTCTCTCTCTAGTTCTTCTTATTCTCCATTTTCTCCACCATCTCTTTACTTTCTCCATTTTTTCTAGCACCCATAAATCTTCATCCACCCATCAAACTTCAAAAATTCTTCCACCATTCTTCTTCTCTCCCTTGGCCGATTATAACCCAACCAATTACAAGGAGATTTGTAGCTCAACCCATCAATGAACACCTTCAACCTGCCTCTTGGAGTTCTTGGAGGAGCAAGATGTTCTTGATGTTTTCTAGCTAAATTTTCCATGGAATCCTAGGGAAGATTTGATGGAAGAGGAGATTTGAAGTATTCATTTTGCTAAGCTCAACAATTTCTTTATCTTGTTTCAATTTCTTAGAATACTATAACTATTATTGGTTGTAGTTCAATTTGACTATAGTTTCATGGTTGCTTGTAATTGTTAATATTGAAACAAAATTGTTGAGTCAAATTTCATGTTCTTCTTGTTGCTGGAATTTTGGCCACTTAGTGATTTTGCATTGTAATATGTGATTTCATTTAGTGAATGTCTTGTATTAACCTAGCATGTAATTGTGTGGTGAATACTTGATGAGTTGCTTGAGTTTTCATAGTTTTGACTGTAAGTACAGATTTGGGCAGTAGCAATTGAGAATGAATTTTAATTAAACACTTAGTTAATTATTGAGCTAAGCTAGCGAAGTTACCTAAAGGGCTTGCAATAGCACTTAGGGAATTGAATTGGTGTTGTTAGGTTACTTAAGATAGTTGTCTTAAGTAAACACATTTTTTAGCCTAGGAAGAGAAGTTGAGGGAACTGCTATAATTAACTAGAGGTTAGGATTCTTCCATTAGCAACACCCGAGGGTTCCTACTTTAAAAGGAAAGTCTATTCCATTCACAATTAGGTTTAGTTTGCTAGTTAAATTCACTAGATAATTAGTTAGGTAACTAGGCAATCAAATTTCCACAAATAGATTATTTATTTCACTAGATAATCTTTGAATAAGCTAGAACCATTTCTTGGGAGATAACCTAAGGTTGGCCCCATATTGTATTAGGGTTAGCTCTAATTTAATTTTAAGGGTAAGCTACTAACACCAATCACACATACACAAATTTAATAACCCAAGAATTTTAGTAAGAAATAAACTTTAAGGTAAGGTATTTTAAGAGTATTTTTATAAAAATTGAGACAAATCTGTCAAGAAAAATTGGTGGTTCAATAGAAACTCTGCTTACAACCTATCATGAGGTTCTGTGTTCAAATTCTTATTATGAAAGAAAAGGAATTTTTTTTTTTTTGGAATTCAACCTTGAGAAATTTCTACATTTGTTAGACACCAAAGTGTTGAAAATTTCACAACACAATTCTTGTGCATGTGGAGCCATGAATCTAAATATGCAATTGAGGGATCTAAAGTATAATGATCAAAGATAGTAAAGATGTAAATGAAAAAAATATAAGTTTGTAGAGTATTAATTGAATCAAAATAAGAAAAATATTCATGCATACCTTTCTAGGCATTAAAATCATAATTATGTGTGAAGCAAAAAAAAAAGGTAGAAATGAATTTAAACTAAAAATATGAGAGAAATTTTATTGACACATCTTTACTAGACTATTATCCAAACATGTAAAAACCTTATTGAGGCATGTTCTAACTAGCATGAGTGAATCGAATGATTGTCAAGGCATTATTCTCACACAAAGATTTTTCCTTGAAATGTGCATAGTAATTGAAAAAAAAAACAAAGAGAAAACTTATTTTAATACTAATGCATGATAAGATATCATAAAAACAAAAATGAGGAGCACTCTCATATTTTGTTAAAGAAGGTCTTTGATTCAATAAAAATTAGATAAAGGTTTCTCATTTTATCTAAGCAAGAAACATATCACAAAGAATATATAATATGACAAGGTAGATTAAAGTATAGGAAATTTGAATATAAAAATTGGAACATAGTCTTGTAATTTTTTTTATTCCAACAATTTGCTAGATAGATGCATGAAGAAAAAAGGAACATAACTAGCTAGATTGCAAAAAAATTAAATACGTTTTATATATGATGCAGAGGTTAGACACTACGTTAAAAAAATTTAAAATATTATAGTTCATTCTTAAAACATTTAAATATAACTAAAAAATAAGTATGGCTTTTTTGGATTTTATATATTTTTTCTTTTATTCTTCAGTTTTTAATACATACTTGTTGAGCTTCGCATAACTTAAAAAAATATTTTTAGAGCATACGTACAATGATGGTGTAACATCTTAAATTTCAATTCAAGGAACTAGTTGCTAATCAAGGGTAAATTAGTAAATAGTGGATTGATCATGGTTTGAATGTTGAGTTGATATTTCGTGTTGATTGGTTGTTGTGTTAATAAAATTGAATGGTCGAATGAAAATCCTAGTACAAAACACATAAGAACAAGTTAGATTGAACTCACTCTGCCACACATTGGCGGAATCTACATGTGCCACGATGCAATGTGCAAAAATTACTTAAAGTGACGTGAGCAGCTTATGAAATCAGAAGGGATAAGTAAGGAAAACACATATGAGGAGGTTAAGAAGCTTGGCTCTGTTGGGGCTTGCATTATCTGGTGATTGGGAGTTGGCTTTGACTAGTGATTTGTCGAGTAAATATCGACCTAAGCTTCATTTCTACCCTATTTTCATTGAATTTTATCAATTGAGAAATTGAACCAAGAAGTTTTAAAGTACTGGAATCTAAAAGAAATGTTTAAAAAGGGCTATTGAATACAAAACTAAGATTTTGTGACTAGTATGGAGTTAAATGGTTGAGCTTTGGGGATTCAGGCTTAAAATAGCTTAAAAATTAGGTTAAATGGTGAAAATTGTTGAATAAATATGTTAGGAGGTTGTCATGGTCATTTGAATAGCCTATAAGGCCAATAATCGTAGATAGTGGACTTATAAATTCAAAAGGTGTTAATTGGACTAGTTTGTGTGTTAACGGATTTGGTTTAGTTGAATTAATGCTTATGTGAAATGTTGAGAATTGATTGAGGAACACTGGATTATGTAGATTGAGCACTTGTGACATTGCTTATGGGAATCTACATGCTTGAGAATCTATGGTGATTGGCAACTCTTAGTAGTAACTGGAGTAACTCTTTTACTTGTTTATTTATGAAATTGTTTACAAGTATTTTTATATAACTATATGCATTGTGTTATAAACTGATAGAGCAGCAA